CAGGAGAACAGGAACGGCACGTACTCGCCATCGGGCAGCTTCACAGTCGTCGCCTGGAAGTCCATGCCGTCCTCCTCCTTGAAGGTGATGGGGTTGGGGCTCAGCGAGCCCTCGACGAACGCGATCGTGTAGGTCTGCCTGGTGGTGAGCTTGGTGGTGACGAACTCCTTGCCCTTGTCGGTCTCGGCCTCGACGGCGAAAGACTTCGGCTCCAGGCAGAAGTTCTTCATCCTTTGGCGGCGCGCACAAGGGGGTAGGGTGAGGGGGGAAGGCCTCTTAGGAGGAGGCTGCTTCTCGGAAGGCGCTGGCCTCACATCAACAGAGAAGGCCCGCGCCTTCTGGGAAGCCGGGGTGCTTCTAAGAAGCCTTCCTCCCTCCCCCACACCCCCACCCCCTGCGCGTGGCCGAATCCTGCTGCCCTGCACGACCTTGACCTCCGTGCCCACCTGGTCGACCGTGGGGCATCGGTTCGCGAGGCCAGACCCCCGCACCTCGGCTGGCACGCCACAGCAGCAGATGCTGTCCAACTAAATGCATGATTCAAGGGGCCCAAAGACACACAAACAAATACACACTAATACCAATACTCCGCATATTTTCTCATATTTTCTGGGTTTTTGTCTTCCCCCCCACTTCCCATAGTTTCCCATATTTTCCCGGGAATCGAAAATTAATTGCGTCTGTGTTATTTTCTCCTCTTGAAGCAAATGCTGCCCAACGAGATGCATGATACTGAACAGCAAACGTTGTCCAAAACTGACGGCGGCCACTGTTGGGCAGGCGACCTCTGCTTCACATGGACAACGTCTGCGGCGGCCCTGGCAGCGAATCCTGTGCAAAACGCACAGGGACTGCTGTCGGTCGTTCTCCCCGTTCTTTCCGTAAACCAGTTGTTCGTGCCGACTCGGGGGGGGGAAGACACCGATACCGCTGCTCCCAAGACCTCCCCTGGGCGCGCCCTGAACAGGACTCCGAGGCGAGTCTGGCGGTGGCGACGGAGACCCCCGGCATGAAACCGAAACCGATCGAAACCGACAGGCCGCAAGCAGCCTACCGCAGTTTCGTGTCGTGTCGACCCTGGCGGTAGTTCCTGACACCGCGGGGATCGCTCAACCTTCGACGGTGGGCCGTTCAACGTTAAACATTGGCGCTGGCGGCGGGGTCGCCGCTGGTCGGCACGACGCGAACCTACCGTAGAAGGAAGCAGCGACGCGTCAACGACGCCACAGCCGGCCGAACCGAATCGACCAGACGCAGCCGACGCCGAACCGACCGAACCGCAGACACCCTCGGAGGCCCCACAAGCGCAAACGAGAGAAGGGTATCGGTATCGATACCGGTATGTTAGCAGAGAGGGGAGGCGGGGGTGGAAGGGGTGCCCTGTCAGGGCAAGATCCCCTTGATCTAAAACTGCATCAGACTGCAGCGAGATGGGAGGAGCGCAAAAGGGAGGCAAGAGGAGGGAAGCAAGAAAGCAAAGCATGCATGGGGCCAGCGGTGCTGACTTTGCTTCACCTTCGGGAACCTGCTTTTACCCCCCTGGGGACCTGCGAGTAGGTGAGCTGGCTGAACTGCTCCGCCGTGATCGCCTTTGCCGGCGCGACCGACGACGGCGACGACGGCGGCGAGGGAGACGGCTGCGTCTTCGGCGGCGGCTGCGGCGGCAGCGAAGGTGGCGACGGCGGCACTCGGGGAAGCGCTGGCATCGATCAGCGCTAGCCTGGGCCAGCTGGGAGGCCTCGTCGGGAGCCCCCCCGCCCGCCGCGGAGCAGCCCCCAAGCCCGGTCAGCGGACGACAGGAGGACGAGAGGAGGAGGAGGAGGAGGAGGACGACGACGACGACGACGAGGAGGGAGAAGGAGGACGACGACGACGAGGAGGAGGAGGGGGAGGGGAGATCGGCTCTGCACTGCTTCCAACACACAGGTCAGACGGGGTCCGAAAGGATTGGATGTGGATGACCCCCGTTAGCGCTGACCCCCGTCACGTCCACCAACGTCGCGTTCGGGCCATCATTCCAGCCTTGCGGGCGGCAATTGGGACCATTCTGGCATCCCGGGAACGCTCTCGAGGCGCGGCGGATGAAAACCACCCAGGATGCTGAACCTGGAATCTGGAAATCGGATCGAATCGGAATGTGCGTCGGACCGAGTCGCATCGGCAAGGAGTATGAATCGAATCGAATCGGCAGCACTGGGATGCAAAACAGCGCCGCGCCAGCGTCGGGCCGCATCGGATCGCTGAACATCGGAATCGAACATGATCGAGCCAGACGGAATCGATATCGAATGGGATTGATCGGATCGAGAAGTACCATGCATACGGCTCGACTGAAGGTACTCAAACACAGGAGGGAACCTAGACTCGGATACAGCCCCATACGCTCACCCACACACACACAGAAAGCCAAAGAGGAGGCGGGAGAGGAGGGAGGATCCATCCCCTCCAATGGCGCTGATGTTTTCTCTATCCGCCGACGCGTGCCATAGCGCGGATCTGGAGTACCAAAAAGGACCCATCGTGTTATTCATGAGCAATCGGAAAGGGGGAGCTGCGTACATTTGAGGAGGAGGTTGCGAATGAACAGGAAGATGAGCAGGAGGAAGGGGAGGAGGACGAGGAAGTAGGAGGAGGACGAGGAGGAATAGCAGCAGCAGGACCTGGAGTGGGAGAAGCGAGGATCCAGATGACCAAGGGAAGACGGGGGAGGGGAAAGGAGCGGGACGAAGGCCTTCTCAAAGGCGGCAGGGCTTCTCAGAAGCCCTCGCGCTTCATCAGAAATTTTCTGTGCCTTCGGGGAAGGCTTACATTTTCTGAAGGCCGGGAACTTCCGAGCCTCCTGAGAAGGCCTGCCCCCTCTCACTTCCCCTTCTGGGCTGGTCGTGGACCCACCGCATCCCGAACCCCCACTGGCACCACACGCTGTGGAACACCACCGCACCGCGCGGGCGCCCCCGAAAACCACCCCTCCTCGCTGTCGGCCGCCGCCCTCGCGCGTGGCGGCGAGGACCTCCCCCCCAACCGTGGGCTGGTCGTCGACATCTCGAACCCGCGGGGGGGCCTTCGCTGGCGCCACTGCGAGCGAGGCGGCCAGGCCCAGGGCGGCGCCGGCGCCGAGCAGCGGCGCCGCCCACGAAGCCCAGCCCGCCTCCGCCTCCTGGGCGGGCGGGGCCTCCGGCAGCGCGGCCTCGGCGGCGACGGCGACGGCGACGGCGACGACGGCGACGGCGACGACGGCGACGGCGACAGACGACGGCGACAGACGACGGCGACGGCGACGGCGACGACGGCGACGGCAACGACGGCGACGGCGACGATAAAAACGACAGAGACGACAGAGACGACAGAGACGACAGAGACGACAGAGACGGCACAGACGACAGAGACGACAGAGACGACAGAGATGCCAGAGACAAAGACAGAGACGACGGAGACGACAGAGCCGACAAAGACGACGACGACGTCGACGGCGGAAGAGGAGGGAGGGAGGGATGGAGGGAGGGAGGGTCGGGGGCGTCCAAGCGGGGGGCGTCCAAGAGGGGGGCGTCCAGGAGGGGGGGGTGCAAAGTATGGCCGGCGGCACGTGCGCGGCCCAGGGGGGCCAGGGACGTAATGACATAAGAAGGGGTGCCATGAAATCTGGGGAGATATCATGGCCCCCGCCATGATATCCACCCCCACCCCCCTCTTGGCCGCCCCCGAGAGGGAAGGCGCACAGGTCGAGCGCCTGGTGGCCCTGGGCCTCACTGCGCCGCTCCTGGCGCGCCGCCCGGGCCGCCGCAGGGGGGCAGGGCAGGCGGCACTGGGTGCGCGGCCAGGGCGGTCCTCCTTCGAGGCGCGCGTCCGCCCCGAACATGTGGTATATCCATCTTGTAGCACATCGCTTCCCGAGCGGTGTGGCCAGAAAGCGCCCCCCACGACGCATGTACTAGAAGATTTCTCGGTGCGCGCGTCGCCCCTGAGGGGCCGACGCACATATAGTAGAAGTATGTTGGGGCGACGCCGATCTCGGAAGGCTCGGAAGTCCCGCGGCCTTCTGAGAAGTTTTCTGAGTCTTCCCCGAAGGCACAATAAGAAAAACTTCTCGGAGGGCGCGACGGCTTCTGAGAAGTCCCGCCGCCTTCTGAGAACCTTCTCATTTGCTCCCGCCCTCGCTCGCCGCCGAAAGACAAGGCTGCGCGCAGAGGGCACAGGGGTGCCTCGGGGCCCCCCAGCGCGCGGTCAAGCACAAGTTCTGCACCCAGCAGGTCGTGGCACGGCGGCGCCGCCAGCTCTCCGACCGCCTCTCCGAACCAGAGGCAGAGAGATCCTCCGGTCGGTCCCATGGCAGAGCGGGGTCTGCGGTGTCCGAACCACCCGCGGCCGGAGCCGTCGCTCGGAGACGACGAAGGCGCCGTGACCCTGCGCCGACGGCTGCTCTACGGGGACCTGGCCGCCATCGGCGGCAGGCCCGGCCCGGCCTGAGGCACTACGGTGCCAGGCGAGGCCGCGTCCCACGAGCCGCTCGCAAAGCACGCCAGCAACTGCACCGCAGGGCCAGGCCAAGGTCCGTGAGCCACCACGACGGCAGACGGGACACGCTCGACGAGTGACTCGCCGAGCCATACGGTCAGAACGCAGTCGAGCTCGAGCAGCGCATTTCCAGCCAGGATAAGCGCACTGACAAGGGCATGGGAGGCGGGAGGGAGGGACAGGAGGGCGACGAGAAAGGAGGAGAGAGGAGGACACCGGGGAGGCAGGACCAGGAGGACTTAGGAGGCGGGTGCCGACGCCTGGGCGGCCGCGAAGCGGGGCCCCGCCACGGCCCGCGGCGCCGTGGGGCCCTGGACGAAGGCCGAGGCGCCGCCGACCAGCGCCGCCGCCGCGACGAGGCGGGCCATGGTTGGCTTCGGGGTGGGGCAATTGGGGGCGGCGAGCCTGGGGGGGAGGCCGGACGGGGCGGGCATTCTCAGAAGGCTCCAAGGCCTCCGGCCTTCTGAGAAGTTCTCCAGGCTCCAGGCCTTCCCCGAGGACGCAGGAAAAAAGACGAACCCGGGACGACACTACAGTCGGGGTGAGTAGAAGTCGAGCATCTCTGAGATCTGGCGGCTCTGGAGGACGTCTCGGGCACCGCGGCCTTCTCAGCGCGTTCCGGAACGCTCTGGAATGGATCTATCCTCGTCATGGCCCCGTCCGAGGAAAAAACTCCTCAGAGGGCTGGAGGGCTTCCGAGAAGCCCCGCCGCCTTCCGGGAAGGCCTGCTCCTTCTCACTTGCCTCAGGTCGGGCATGTCCTCCAACAGGCGGTCTTGGAGGATAAACAAAGAAAAAGTGAAAAAATGCCCAGCAACAGTCCAACATTAAAGGGAAATCGTCCCCAAAACTATCTTCTGACCATGTTTGCTTGCTCCTCCCGTAGGAGGGACATGCCCGACGCGACACCTGCCCCCCCCCCTCCCTCGCCCGCCACCGAGCGACGGCCCCAGACCTCCAGCGCACCGAGGAAAGCGCAACGGAGGCTTCCCGCCGCTCTCGGCCTCCCCGGGGCCCTCGCCGGGCCCCGAGGTCGTCAGAAGGCGGTCTTCGTGAAGGGGCCCCGGAACACGCAAATTAAATACACACACAAATGACAGGATTCCCCACACTTTCCCATACCTTCTGGGTTTTTGTCTTCCCCCCCGCTTCCCATATTCTACCATATTTTCTGGGGAATCGTCGATGAATTGTGTCTGTGTTTTTTCCCCTCCTGACTTCGGGCGGGCGGCAATGGGGGGGGTGACCCAAATGGGGGGTGAAGAGAATGGCCCGAAAGGGGCCCTTTAGACCTTCAGGGCTCTTTTCTTCATCCCCCCACGGGGTCCCCCCCCCCCATTGCTTGCCGCCCGCCCGAGGTCTGGGGCGAGAGGTCCAGTCCCCGCGACGGGGTCCAGGAGGAGGAGGAGGAGGAGGAGGAGGGCGCCCCGCGTCGAGGGAGAGAGATCCCCGAGAGGCGGGCGCTGCCGATTTTTGTTGCCACACATCGGGCGCCCTCGCTGGGTTTTTCGGGCTCGCCGGGACCAGCACTGACCGATGCTGGTCGAGAAGTGCCGCGACAAAATGGGGTTCGGGGCACCGGTCGCGGTCTTTCGCGGCGTCGCGAGCTTCTCGCGGCGCCGGATCTCCGAGATACAGAAATCTGTCACCATTTTCGGCGCCTCAGGTAGCCCTCGCCGGGCCCCGGGGCTGAAACCCCCCCAAGAAAACGGCCCGCCGGGGCGAAAAACAAATCCCTGGGGCGGGGTGAGAACGAGGAAAGGCGACACCACCACCACCACCACCAGCGCGAGGCGCCACGGAGGGTCCCCCTGGTTGTGTGGTCCCCCCCTCTCGCTCGAAGCATCCCCAATCCCCCTGGCTCGGAGAGGCATCGTGGGCCCCCATCACTGGAGGCAGGAGAGCCCAGGATCGAATCCATACGTCGGATCCGATAACGAGATGAATCTGATCGGCGGAAATCGGCAGCCGACTCGGGAAAAGTCGAATCGGCAGAAATCGAAATCGGCAGGCTAGCATGCCTCCAATAAGAAATCCGAACCCAAGTCGGAATCCCAAGTCGAATCGAATCGGAATGGGAAGCAACCGAAATCGAATCGAATCGGAGGAATCGAGGCGAGACCCCTGGTGGTGGTGTCGCCTCTGCTTCCTCCCAGTGGGGTCGCGGCTTTTCTCCGCGGGCGGGTGCTGAAGCAGCGCGCAGCACGTTGGGTGTCTGGGGCCGCGGCGGGCAGCGGTGGCGCCCGGGAGGTGTGCGGCGGCAGCTGGAGGGAGTCTCGAGCGGTGGCGGCCCAGGGGAGGGGGGAGGGACAGAGGTTCCAGACCCCAAGTCCCTGCTCCAGGGTCACCAGCACACGTCGACGCATCCAGCGAAGAAATGCCGATGTCGACGCATCACAGCCCGATCCGAAGAGGCGATCAGATGCCCCAGGACTGTCCGCAATTCGAGGATGTCTCCTGCTCTAGCACGCAAAGTACGCGTCATTAGGAGGAGAGAACACATGGACAAAAGACTGCATGGCATAAACATACACTTTCGGAGGCCCGCGCAGGTTATGGGAATCGGCAATGGGACCCACTCCCCGGCGCGCGCAGCACGCAGGGGCGGCACCAGAGGCGCCGCCAAGGGGGTCCAGCACACAGCGCCCTTCCACGGGGACCCGCTCGTCATCCCGGGCCGCTTTCTGACAGTCCCGGGGCCTGGTGAGGGCCCCCGAAGCCCGGCGAACAGAAACGGTCAGAAACCTCCCGTCGAGTTTTGTTCCACGACATGGGCATGTCTGGGGATCGATGCTGGGACAAGGTGCAATATGACTGGGATTTCGCGGCGAATCCAGCGGTGGTGATGAGGGCCTCCAAGGAGGCCCAAAGAGGCGAAAACGAAGCGAGGGAAGCGGTATCGGTACCTTTTCCGCCTCTGAAGATGTGCAGAAGTCTCGCCGCCCAGAGAGGAGGCGCGAGCGTACGCGCGCGGGGTCGGCCTCAGGGCGGCTCCGTCTTTGCGGCCGCTCCCCCGCCGTCGCCCAGGATCTTCTCCACCCTTCTGGACCACTGGTCCGTCAGCCACTTGGCGCGGGCCAGCGTGGGAGTGGCCTGGGGCAGGATGACTCCTCTACCTCCTCCTCCTCCTCCTCCTCCTCCTCCTCCTCCTCCTCCTCCTCCTCCTCCTCCTCCTCCTCCTCCTCCTCCTCCTCTACCTCCTCCTCCCCGTCCTCGATATCCTCCTCCTCCTCCTCCTCCTCCTCCTCCTCCTCCTCATCCTCCTCTTCAGCTTTCCAACTCCAGCTTCAACTCCAATTCCTCATCCTCATCCTCATCCTCATCCTCCTCCCCCCCCTCCGCCTCCTCCTCCTCTTCAGCTTCCTCCTCCTCCTCCGCCTATTTCTTCTCTTCCTCCTCGTCCTCCTCCTCCTCTCCTCAGCTTCCTCCTCCTCCTCCTCCTCCTCCTCCTCCCATTCCACTCCTCCTCCCCCGCCTTTTCCTCCTCTTCCTCCTCCTCCTCCTCCTCCTCCTCCTCCCTCCTCCTCCTCCTCCTCCTCCTCCTCCTCCTCCTCCTCCTCCTCCTCCTCCTCCTCCTCCCTCCTCCTCCTCCTCCTCCTCCTCCTCCTCCTCCTCCTCCTCCTCCTCTTCCTCTTCTCCTCTTCCTCTTCCTCTTCCTCCTCCTCCTCCTCCTCCTCCTCCTCCTCCTCCTCCTCCTCCTCCTCCTCTTCCTCCTCCTCCTCCTCCTACCCCTCCTCATCCCCTCAATTCCTTTTCCTTATACAAAACTTCTCCCTGTCGCACCCCGAGGCCAATTCTTAGGGCGGGCCGGGCGTTTCGCCTGAGACTTCCTCACCACCTATGACTCTGAAGCTTAAAAGTTTACAACAGTTTCACAGACGGAGGGCGGGTGGTTTTCAAAATGTGGCTCTCGCCTTGGCGCGGCGGCGCACATTCGCTTTTTACAATTCGCAAGAGTTTTATGGATTGAGGGCGGGTGGTTTTCAAAACGTGGCTCTCGCCTCGGCGCGGCGCAGATTCTTTAAAAAATTGCAAGAGTTTCACGGGTTGAGGGCGGCTCCTTTTCAAAATGTGACTCTCGCCTTAGCGCGGCGCACATTCATTTTAAAAGTTGCCAGAGCTTCACGAATTGAGGGCGGTTCCTTTTCAAAATGTGGCTCTCGCCTTAGCACCGCGCACATTCGTTCACAAAATTGGCAAGGGTGTCACGGATTCCCATCATCAACGTACCAGAAATTGTGTTTTAGGACTCAGGATTATGCGGGTGCCACAGTTACGTTGATTCTCTGCGTTGAAGTCCCAGGAATGGCGTTCTGGCACGATTCAGGATCATCAAGATGAAACAATCAGGTTCATCCGTGGCATTGACATCCCAAGAACAAAGTTTTGGCATTCTTCAGGCTCGTCAAACGGTTGTCGTCAAACGAGGTAGTTCCCTCAACGGAAATGAACCGTTGTAGGGGCCTATGAAGAAAGAGCTTGGAGGGAGGGTTTACTCCAACATCGTTGATGACGCTTGGGTTTACACTGGCCCTCCTCCTCCTCCTCATCCTCCTCCTCCTCCTCCTCCTCCTCCTCCTCCTCCTCCTCATCCTACTCCTCCTCCTCCTCCTCCTCCTCCTCATCCTCCTCCTCCTCACAAAGGTTGCGGGCTCGCGCCCGGCGGCCCTGGGCCGCTGCTCCTCCCGCCCTCCCTCCCCCCCGCGCCGCGCCTTGTCTCGCCTCCCTGTGCCATCCCCGCCGCACGGCCCCAGAGCGCAGGAGCCAGGCTGCCCGTGCACAGGCACGCGTCGTACAGGCGTTGCTTCGGGCCTTAAGCCGCCGTGGGCACCGGGGCTGCAGGGCGAGCCATCTTGGCGGCGCTCTCGCTCATGATCTTCGCCCCAGTGCTGATCCTGCGTCTTCGTCGTCTGCTTCCGCCCGCGCTGAGGATGGTCCTGCTGACACCCATCCCTGTGGTCCAGATGGCCGTCCCGAAGTGGGTCCTTGCACTAGCAAGGGCAAGGGCAAGGACATCAACAAGGGAAAGGGGTACTTGCCTGACGATGGGTATGTCGCGGCTGCTGCTGATAACATCGGCCACAACCCATGGCATCGCGCCCAAGGTCTTCCTGATGCTCCGCGGCCGCCTGGCCGTCCAGATGGTCGTGGTCATGACGATGTTCTCCACGGTGCGGATCCTTGGGCTGAGGATCCTGCCCAACACGCGCACCGCCGCCGCCGCGAAGATGCCGAAGCCGCGGGACACAGGCTGGTCAACAGGTTCTGACCCCAGACGCAAGAACGACAGCAAGGACACTGCAAGGCCTGCCCGCTGAGTGGGCCGGCGCCAGCCCATGGCGCTGCCGACAGTGGTTGCTCCCGCCGCCTCCGTCGGCGTCCGTCGTCGTTGCGCTCGTTCGTCTGTCGTCCTCGCCGTCGCCGTTCGTCGTTGCCGTCGTGTCGCTGGTTGCCGCCTTTCTCTCTGCGAGAACTTCGCGCCCTCTCGGGGCGCGCGCGAGGCCAACCTAGAACCCTAGAGCC